TATTCCATGATTTTGTTCGAGCTAGTTGATGACGGAACCGATGCTCGAAATGGCCTCGAAGCATCACGAGAGACCCGGAAGGAGGATTTCAGCAGCGGCACGTGGCATGCGCCGCTGGGAAGGTGCATTCTCCATGCGCTTGTCCTACCGGCGTGGGATCGGCCTGCAGTGCCTGCCGGACAGGTGCGTGGAGTCGGGATGAGAAGTTGGAACTGAAATCCATTTTCTCCTTCGCTGGATCTGAGTGTCGTCCACTGCCTTCGTGAACAGCGTCCCCTGGATCCACCAACCCATCGCCGGTGAGTGCGTCGTCGTGTCTTCCATGTATCCGATCAACGGCGCTAAGGTTTCTGGCTGCCGTCGCCGCATGTGATGGAGGTTGGCTGCTATTTGGTGGCGCGAGGCCGGTGGGGTTAGGGTTGGGTATTGGAAGGGGTAATTTAGATTTGACGGGAGACGCCATTGTTGGTTTCCTCCTTAGTATAAATTCGCCTTACACGATTCAAGCTCAAAAGGTATACTAATACAATTACTCAAATATTTAAGTATTCAATGGCCCCAGGCTCAACTAAATCTTATTACTTCTTTGATATCGTTAACTAAGTGGAGTTTGGATCCACATAATTTTTAAGAAACCAGTCAAAGAACTGTTTATACACTGTTCTTTTTTAAAAACTACATTCTTGAAAGTAGAGTTTCTTGTCGAACAACATAATTCACTTTAAATGAAATGTCAGCAGACACAATAAACTAAAGTTGTTTTACTGAACGGGTTTTCAGATCTTGGCCCTTATATTTAAAATGGAGGGAGGAAAAACATTCATACATTGCAAAACTAATTTATGGATCATCTCGAAACAGTAATGACAAACAAAACTTACTTCAGCATTTCTGCAAAACTCATAGCTTCATCAATTCCAGGAATAGCATTTGCTAAGTCAGATAGAAACCCATCAGTATTATCTGAACCCAATGGGTCATCATTCTCCATATTAGGATCAACTTCCTGTTAGGCAGAATTGCAAATTTGCAATGAATAAAAACCAAAGATACAAGAATTTTGAAAATCCACAGGATAACAACAATATAATTTGATACACTACCAGAGATCCCTATAGTCCTTACAAATACAACTTGACTTTGAGTCAAATCCTAACCAGCAACTGTCAAAAAATTTCCACATGTCATCTATTTCGACTTCAGCAACTGTCAAAAAATTTCCACATGGTCATCTATTTCGACTTTGTTGTCCTCGTTCTTACTACACAAAATGACCTTCTGGATCTTAGTTCAACTTATTCTAAGACCCTTAACAAATCCAAGATTCCCATCCTTATAAATCCGAAGACACTATGTTCTTTAATTTATTTGTATTTGAACTTGAATAGTATAATAGTGATAATCCCATTAACACAAAATATAATACATATGAATATAACTAATGCACAAATATAAAAGCTCGTAGGGGAACCTTGATACCAGCTTATTGTCTTACAGAATTCCTGACCACCGCCACACTAGATATCACACAACTAACTATATTGCACACGTGTCCCTCATATTGTATATACATCAAATAAATTTTATTTCTCTCTATGCCAACCATCACCAATGCTTTGAATGTCAAAGGAATACAAAACCAAAAGTAAAAATATTTGAAGAAACGAAAAATTGAGGTTTAAAAGAGCAAAGAGAAACCTTGCATTTGTTCCAACTAAAATCTTGCACATTCCCTTAAAATTCATTAAATACCAAGGTTCAATCAAAATACCACAAATATCCCATCTTTCCATATCAAACCAACCAAAATTAATCCAAACAGTCTATAAATCAATAAAGAAACTCTCAAAGCCATTGAAAGAAACAAACAGTTCAAGAAGTTTAAAGGAAGACACTCGTACGCATACCATGGCGTACAAGTTGGGGAAGCCATTAACAAGTGTAGGAGTCTTGGTGAACCTCTGCTGGAACGCATCACTAAGATTGTGTGCGGGGTCCGTGGAGATGATAAGCACAGAGGGTCGCACCCGCGCTAGTAAAATTGCAAGAATGGAGCTGCACGTCGTCTTTCCCACGCCACCCTTGCCACCGACGAAAACCCACTTGAGCGTATCCTGATCCAGCACGTTCTGCACTGTGCCCTCAGGCAATTCCTGGTTCAAATCCATCAATAACAAGAACTGATATAACAATAACAAACAATATTACAGAACTCTGCTCAATAAATTCTTGTTTAGGTTTTCTTTGGAGAATTTATACGAACAGGTGGAGTGGGAATGAGGTTTTTATTCTTTTATCACAGTTTTCAGTTG